CCCCTCCCAACAGCTCCCTGGATTCCAGAGTGTTGAGACAAGCTGTGCAAGGACGCTGCAGCAGTGAATAGATATTCCCCCAATAGGTAAAAAAAAAAAGCTGTGTGTGCAGGGTCATCTCAGGCTATTCTTCCAGCCAATCGCTGGAGCACATCCAAAAGGGGAGAATACATCCAAAGCCAAACCCAGTCTCTTTACACCCCCTCCCAACAGCTCCCTGGATTCCAGAGTGTTGAGACAAGCTGTGCAAGGACGCTGCAGCAGTGAATAGATATTCCCCCAATAGGTAAAAAAAAAAAGCTGTGTGTGCAGGGTCATCTCAGGCTATTCTTCCAGCCAATCGCTGGAGCACATCCAAAAGGGGAGAATACATCCAAAGCCAAACCCAGTCTCTTTACACCTCCACCCCACCCCACCCACGCCTGTTCTGTCCAGTTCCTGTTCTGGAAGCATTAGCTGGCTGGTATCCCATGAGATGCATATGTATTCATCCCTCTAAAGGATGAGATGATTCACGCCATTAACACTCCCTTACTGTTCAGAGCATGACTGCCTTCCTCCAGAAGGTATCCCTAATTAGAGCAATAGCTCACACACTAGGGGCTGGAACTAGTGATCAGTCATTACCAATTACAGTATGGGAAAAGTGAAAGCAAAGTCTTCCCTCCATCCTTCCCACCTTGGAAGAATGACCCCATTTCCCATTGCAAACTCACTTCTTATATCAGGAGGAAGGATTGTTAAGAGTGCATTCTTTTCCCAATTCAAGGCCTTTGGTGATCATCACACTGCAAACCCGTTACTCCAGGTAGGGAAACTGAGGTACTGGGATGTGCCATCACATACTGGATCCATTCAGAGAGGGAGATAGATCTGCCTCCCATCCTACTTTCCTTTGTGCATGAAGGACTGGGAAGTAAACATACACAACAGGGAGCTGCAAATGTGCCTGTTGTAAAGATAGATAAGAGCACTGCCACAAAACAAAGTAAACCAAATTGGCTCACCAAGCCAAAGGCCACTTAAAATAGTGCCCATGTAGCTGTGGTCTAACATAAGCTAAGTTACATGTGTACATGACCTTTCTCCCTGCATTGGTAAACCCACACAAAAAATATTAGCAGAGCAGTGAAGCAATGGCAGCAAAGCCTTTTAAAGTCTCTCATCACCATTGCTATTATAGGAATGTAAGGTTTCTGCCATATTAGTATTGTCATATCTTTAGACTTAAGAGGTTTCCAAAAGACTCACCCAACTCTTCAAGTGATGCAAGTTTTTATTTTTATCTGGTTTATTTACATTTGCCTCTGCACTCATTGGGCATTCACACAAGTCATATTTGGACTACTGCCTATTCTTGATGCCTATTCATCCCTGAGGCTTAGTTCTGGTTTATGCCACCTCCTTCAGCTTTCCAGCAAACTAAATGCAATGACATGTACAGAACATAGAACACAGAGCAAGGAATTTCAGGCAGAAGAGCTGAAGAAATATAGACCCTGTTTGTACACAGGTGTTTGCAGGAACAGGAAAAGCTGCTAGAAAGAGCCAGAGGTAAACTTCTAAATAAACTGTTGCCATTGGCCATCCATTTCTTCAGCCTCCCCAGTTGTACATGGAGCCTGCAGTTTAGTTTATCATCACTATCCTTCTTCTGTTTGCTCCAGCTCCCAGGAGAACAAAGCACACCAACCCCTGCCCCCTTTAACCAGGGTATAAAGGATTTACTGAAAAAGTCTGTACAGATAGATGGATCACAAGCTGAAGTGCTACAGGCATCCCAAGCCGTCTCTTTTGGAAAAACTCAATTGGCATCTGCAGAATTTATTAATATTTTAAAATAAGAAGTCTGACTCCCTGTCCTCCCCCCTCACCAAAACAAAACAAAACAACCCAAAAACCTCTTGAACATCAGAACCACCCACCAAAATATGCAGCTTTGATTGAGGCCACAGCCAAGGCTTTCCAAGCTAGGGCTGCTAAGTAAACACAGTCCAGTCAATCTCTTCAAAGCTGTAACTGAAGAGTAATTCCCCCATTTACCATGATGCCCTATAGTCCACAGCATTATGCCATAATTATTGAGTACCCTTAAAAAAAAAAAAGCAAGCAGTATTATGGTCAGCTTCGCTCATACTTTTTAGTATGTTGGTTTCTGGGCACTGACAGAGGGGAAAACAGGATAACCCTGACTGTGCAAGGGTGCCATTTTTACTACTGAGTTGTTTTTTTCCCCCCCTTCCATACTATATATTAACGGGGAGTTGCTGTTCACTGCTGCATGCATGACTGTTCCAACTGAGCCTATACTTGCCAAGTACACAGTCCCATCTATGACGCTCCACTGCAGTGAATTAGTCGTGATATAACCCGAGATAGGTCTGGCAATGGCTTGGGAAGCTGGACCGGGTGTCTCAAGGGCAAGGTATCACATACCACTGGCCAAGTAAAAGATCACACATTTACTTCCTTCGAGGACAGACCATCCCTGTCAAAGGCAGAGTTCTGATGTATCCCAGAATAGCCTTTACTGCTGGTATTTCCGATGTTGCCAACAGTTAAGTTACAGAGTATTTGGTTGGTCATCTATTATATTACACAACTCCTCCTGGAAAGTTAGGATGGATGGAACCAGTGCCAACTGGTGCTGAAAGGAAGCTCAGCTTCAGGCTTGTCTAACACAGGGAGAGTCAGCGCCTCCTGACCAGCTGGAACATGGACCTTTCTTCAGTTGTTTGTGGCACAGAAAGCCCTTTAGGGCTTTTATGCATATGGAGTCATTCCCAATTAGCTCCATGTGTTGACATTTATTCCAAGAGAATGCTACTCCCTGTTCAGCCAAACACTTAGCCCTTCAAGTTGAGTAGGAATGGCTCCATGTGTTCAAAACACCAGTACTACAGAGAAGCTCCCACCTGTTGACAGATAGCTTCTCAAAAATCAAAGGAAAGAAAAAGGTAAGAGTGAAACCCACTGACTGCAGGTTTGAATAGGAAGACCTTGTCCGAACAGAAAAATGTGGGGGGAGGTTTGGTGAAGTACAAGAGTTCTCTTC